ATCCATCCATCCATCCATCCATCCATCCATCCATCCATCCATCCATCAATCAATCTTTTTTTCAGACACAAGGATGGTCCATAGCACAAAAAAAAGAGATAAAAAGAAACATACAAAAAGATCAATACAATAATAGGTTCTAAAGAAGTCACATCACATTCCACAATCCACAAGTAAAGCTTACTGTACTTGCAGCACTACTAAAATTGCAATAATTTTATCTTATGTACGCATCTATATGCAGTGTATGCATCTATGTATGCATAGACTTGTGATGTTATTATAATGATCTGGCTATTAAATGGTATCAGATTGTCCTGATTTCACTGGAATACTGCCTTAAAACAGAGAGGGGGAATTGCAGGTGTTGCAAATGCAATCGCAATCTGAAGCTTTTCATCAGCCCTCAAGGACTCCCAGTTTCCATGATGTTGGTCAGAAATGTGAGAATGGAACAAAAGTTAGGGCATTTTGTTCCTCACTAACAAATTCCAACATGCCTGGCTGTGTGGTTTCTCATGCTGACATTCTCTATAAAATTCTAAAAAGGTGACACATAAAATATGATCCAAAGAATTTTAGTTTCATCCCCAAAAGTATTTATCTAAATAAATTTCTCCGACTTTCAAATGACTTCTCGACATCCATTTTCCCCAAGTTAATCCTCTTACAAAATATAAAGTAAGTTTGTGGCTTCACACTGCGCTCTCTGAGTTGAATCTGTCATCCTTGAGCTTCTGTACCATCAGCGGCTGCCTGAATAGCGAAGCAATCTTTCTCCCCTTCCCTTGCTCTTCTCCATTGTCGCATTGCATTCAGAGGGAGGAGAGGACATGGGAGGTCACAGATGGAGAGAAGTGTTGTGTTTGTTCCTGTCTCTGCTCTCCGAGTGAATGTCTCCACACATGGGTGTACATTGAGAGACTAACACAAATTTGCACAGCAGTGAAAGAGCTTTAGAAATGCAAGGTCAGGCACATATGTAACTGTAGTCATTCTTTCATTTTGGTTTCTTCTCCCTCCATTATGATGTTTATAATTGAACATATTCGTGACAGCATTCGGGCCATGTACCAAATAGGATATCAAGATGACCACATAAATAGAATTGAGCTCGGTGCAAATATCTCAACACATTAACTGTAGTCTGACATTAACTGAATGTTATCAATATTTTTTTCCTCTACTGACTTATGGAGTTGTTTCAGCATAAATAATAAAACAGATTTCATAAACATCCATGACTATTAAATTCTCATACTTTGAAGTAGTGACTTTAAAGCGCATATGTTATTATATAAGTGCACATGCTATCAAAAGCTCAGGGTCCTCTTCTTCGCCATGCATGTAAATTCCCTTTCTGTCCTTCTGCTGACAGAAAACGCATAATTCCTTTATTTGTTGCTATAAACCTGCTTGACCTATTTCTACCAGTTTTGGTTTGTAATGCTAAATCTATTAGTGTATTCCAACTACCTCCATACCATTTTGACCAAAACGGTTCTGTATGAGGTAAGAGAGTGAGACTGTGTACACATTATCATGTTAGATGGGCTAAGTTTGTTTTGGTTGATAAACGGTTAAACTAATCATTTGTAAAACTATAGAGTTTCAGCTGTTCTCTCAGAAGTATGGTACTTTATGTACATCTTCAAATAGTTTATTTTGTTTTGAAGTAGCAGCATCACCCATTCTACTAACAAAATAAAAAATCTTTATCACAAAATCTTTAATCATAAATAAATGCTGCGATGGATCAAAAGCTTTTAAGGGTAGTTTCTTCCATGGATTGTTTATCACCAACTTTGTGTGCGCTTTTCAATAAGATCGGCATTATGGATGGATTCTACTTTTGGTGTAAAAATCTTTTTTGAAAGTTAAACAACATGTTTAAACAAAAGCCAATCAAACAATGTAAATGTGTTTATTCATTCAAAATAACTATATAATATCTGAACTGTGTAAAGATGCAGTAAATAACATTATTTGTACTGTATTAACAAAATTTGTGATTAATATTATAAAAATGTACGATGGGCAAGAGGTCATAAGCAGCATGGGACTGGAATATTAACAATTCCTCTTACTCCCAGGGGCACTGCTGTTCACTGTTTTTACAGTAGTGTGTGGTACATTACTCAGTGATAGGTCAAATGGGGTGGTCAAATTACTGTCTAAAAAGTGTGCAGTTCATTAAATCAAAATTCTTCACCTAAAATTTGCATGATTCTTGTGCTGAAGAAAGCTGTGTGAAACTCTGAATCAGCTTCAGACAGAAAGACCTTTAACTCAGAATGCATACAGACACATGTCTAACTTTGCGGCATACAGTTAGGCTGCACACACAATGCATCAAACTCTGACAAAAAAAAAACAATGAAAAAAAACCCCGAAGGAAATAATTAAGGAACCTGAAGAATGTTAACAGTCAAAATCAATTTAAATAAAGAGCTAAATCTAACTTGTAAACTTAACTACCACTGAAAACAAATCCCTATCAGCTTACATTAGTTAAAACAGGTTGACAAACACAAACTGTCTCTGTTCGGCTCATATGTATTTGTCCTCCAAAAGCCCCGTTGTTGCTTGTGAGGCTGTTGCTATGACAACCACCATTTGAGACAGTTGTGTGTAGGAAGGCAGAGAAATGTGGTTAAAAATTAGCAAACTGTTATGCATGCTTTATAATCTATTCATAATTTTAGTATATGATGTGTCAAGGGAATCATTCAAGTACTGAGCAACATTTAGTTGCTCTCACTGATGAAAGGATCACCGTGCTCTATGTTCCAAAAAGTGACTGCTTCATTGAAATTACTTCGAATGCAAATATTTCCCTCTTTGTATTGCTTATTTTTTCTCATCTGTTATAGAAATGTTTCAGTAAGCTACCTTCAAAATAAGGATCAGTATCACCTCAGGCTTTACAAAGATTACCTCATTAATTTGCTGGAACGTCAGCATGTATTATTTTTTGTAAATCTCCGTACTGATACAAAAATACCTTTAAGTAGCCATTTAGATGTTGGTGTTTTAATACTATTTTCAGTTGACCTCTAATAAAGTAGTGAATAGGGAAAGTTACTTAAAAAGATTTTCAATGAAAGAAATGAATGACCAGTAACTTTGCTATCTTGGAATCATAAAATCCTTTATTGAATTTAAAGCTCCCCTAAATTTTGTAACACAGGCAACAACATAATCATATTTCGGAGACAAATTGCATTTTGTCATTAATTCAATTTGCTATGTAACTTCTTTTATCTAACTCTGCATCCACCGTGCAACTGTGTGAAGTGAAACATTTCGGCATGAGACATAGCCTGCAGCAATTAGGAAGAAGACTCTCACTGTTTATTAAAGTGGTTAAATGCTGGTGCAGACCCAAAGGCAGCCCTCGTAGAGTGTGAATTAGCACAAGAGAATACAGAAAAAAAAACTGCCTTTCCACATGCTCCAAGACACTCCAGTACCGTAATTACAGGGAAATGAAACCTTAGCCTTATGTTAATGTGTTTATTGGTATTGCTTTATCTCAAAAGCATGATCTCACAGTCAAATGTACCAAGTTAAAGTTAGTCTGTTTGAGTTGTACCCTCCGCATCGTGTTTGGTCATAGTTAGAAGTACTTGAGCTGACACGTTGCAATACAGCGGGCTGTT